AAGAACAGTCGGAGTCCTATGCATTTTATTCAATTCTAATAGATAATTCAATTCAGCATCATTAGTAACAAATATAGGTGGCATCGGAATGGATGAATCCCCATTACCATTGAATAAATATCTCAATTGCATATTGTACTGAGAAGAATCAACGTTCAGCTTATTTTGCAAATCCTGGTACACTTCCGCATATGATGTACTCTCTGTTACGGGAATTGCAATACAACCACATACATCACTCGTCCATCTCCATTCTCATCTATTATTTTCATTCAGTTCGAAATCACCTAAATAACAGACCGGGATTATCATATCTGCATGACGATATAGAATTTTTAAATCAATTACAATAACAAAAATTCAGATATTTATTTATTCAATCAACTTGTAATTAAAATTATAAGACAATTGTCAAAACAAAAATTAATAATTAAAAAAAATTGTAAAACAGTCGGGAAAAACAGCCGACATTCGGCTGTTAATGAGAAACAGCTGACTGTCGGCTGTTAAACAGTCTTATGACAGTCGGCTATCTAACAATTTTCGTTAACATCCCACAGTTGATTGCCGAGCTGTTTATTTTGCGTATGACTTTTTATTTTTCTATGGTTCTGAAGAAAAAAATTGTAGATCTGTTAAAAAAAATTCTACTAACTACTTTGTATTTTTACATTAGTGCTGGTACATCCCTGCCAGACCCTCACACTTGTGGGCCACGGTGAATTTTTTATTTTATTTTTTAATGTGGGACCAACCCCTATAGTGAGGATCGATAAGACCCTTGTGAATCTCAACTCTATACACAGAGCTTAATACATTTTTACGTAACAATTCAATCACTTTTGCGTCTTAGCTTGCTAGTGATTGATGACGACATGTTCTCGAAATGTGTGCCCATTCACAAAACTTTTAGTTCTCATTGATTAGATTGGAGGATTGTCATAGTTTCTTACAACTTGTGTAGTTGAACAGTAATGACTAATTATTTTTCTCTCTTTTTAGTTTCTAATTGCGAAAGTGGAATTTGCACGTGAATGCCATGCTTTCGTCGTGTGCATTCTTTACCAGCCATCGTTTTAAGTTCAGTCGATTAAACTAGACTTCTTAAAATCAGGATCTAGAGTCGTACTTTCTTACGAGGCTGGCATGTTGGAATTATGAACTTGAGCTAAATTATCTCAAATGGTAAAATCTTGACCACTTTATAACTTGATTCACTTATTACGGTTAATTTCATTTTCACCTCACCTCACCTCACCTCACCTCATCTAAATTCGGAGATACTATGTTTATTTTTCGGATTATAACAAATGAAAAATTGAAGAATAATTGAGGCAAATACTCAATGGTTAGTCCCATTTTTGCTCCTGCGTCTGCCAAATGGCACCATTATGTGCATGGTTTTTCACGTGCCAAACATAAATATACACTCTTGAAAATTATTATGGCTATTTACAATTCCTATGCAAACGTGCGATGCACAGTTATAAATTTAAGTTGTCGATTATATTAATTATAAATGATAATAATATTAATTTTTAGTAATGGAAAAGAAAGATTTAATTTATTAACTATTTTTAATTATTGAGTTCAACATAAAAATCAAAAACTATATTTCAATATTAACGAAAAACATCATTGACCATTTCCTTTTTGTGCAAGCTACTTTCCATTCATTATATAAATAAAAAATACTTATTATGACATTAACACTCAAGATACTTTAAAAACATAATATACTCGCAATTTTGGCAAACAAAAAATTGTTTATAGGTAAATATTTAACATTTTTAAACGTCAGCAATGATGCAGCTATTACATATTAGCGCGAACCCTGGGCCTGCCATAAGCACTTCTCTTGCAGGCCTCATCTATACCTATACAAATTTCAAAATGATAGTCACTCAAGAAAAAATTCATACAACCTACAACAAAAAGAAAACTTGAAATTTTACTACCACAAAGGGTATAGGGCGTGTTTGATGTTGATTATGAGAATCAATTTTTTGACTGTTATCTTGAAAAGTGGGTTCCACCTTTGAGCGAAGATATCAAAAATGATGGATGATCACGTTAAATAACGATCAAAAAATTAATTTTTTAATTTGAAAAATCATAACCAAATGGAGGCATAATATAAATAATGTATAGATAAATATAAAATTTGATCAGCATATATATAATTATGAAGATTAATAAAACATGCACTAAAAATGTACGATGTGTTTTAACAAAATCTATAGTAGTTGCCTCCGTATGAACATCCACGTGACTTGGCATTATTGCACGCAGAGAAGTCGTTAATCGATAATTTTGAAGTTTGATTTTGTCAGGAGTCTTCAAGCATATTAAGAATTATGCATCAAAATCTCTTCTATCATATAATTCTCAATTCAGTTCCACAACCTAGTGAGGTGATCCGAATTTTGTATATTGCGATTAAAATTTCAGGATCGTTGAAGACACAAAGTTGGCTTAAGAACTTCTGCACAGTATTTTTTATGTATTACAATCACTTTAAACATATCCTAATTTCAGTCTTATGGTAGCTAAGCTAAAAATATACTTTATATATATATACATACACACACGAAAAAAAAAAGTAAAAATTACCTTAAACTATTTTTTAAGCTTGAAAATACCGAATAAATCTTTTGCATATTTCCATTTAGAATAACATTATTTATATCATTAGAATATTCACTATATATTTGATATTAAATATATGATGTTATACATTTCATTGACATAGTCATTTTGTAGCACATTATCTAACCAATAGATTCTTAAACATATCTAACGAAAATAAATAACATTATTCTTTCATTTAATTCATCATCAACGAATTCAATAAAATCAAATCTTTCTGATAAACTCAGGTGAAATTCATATGCATTTTGAATACAATTAAAGGTGCGCACATCCATTGTCATTTATTCTGATGCTAATCACTACTGATACTAGATAACCTTTGTCCCATTCGGATAAACTTTTTTTTTTTATTTCATTTGTCCCAAAATCATAGGTCAATTTCTCTATTGGAAGTATAAATATATTTTAAGTTTCTAATATATCCATATTTAGCTCTTGTTTTATTCTCGTTATTCTCAAAATATATTTTTCTCTTTTCTTTTCAATAAAATAATATTACACTTAAAAAAAAAATTCATTATTTTTTAATCACATATTTTCCATCAATCTATTATTTCAAATGCATTCTTAATCAAATAATGTGGCTCAAACAAGGCATTAGCCCATGTTTGAATCTCAATAAATTATATTTTATTTTTCTTTCTTATTTTCAATTATACAATTTTTCATAAAATAATATTACATGTAAATTGAAAACTTTTCATCATTTTCCAACCATTCAATTTATATATATATATATTCTACCCATTTTCATTTAAAAAAAAAAAAGGCCAAATCCGGGCTAATGTATTTTGCTATCAACAAATATATTCTATTAAGTTATTATTTAATATAATGATATATAAAATGTAAGAAAAATTTATATTTTTAACGATATTAATTATTCCCATTACTTAATTACACTGAAATTCAAGAACCATCATTTTCAGTTTTTCATTAAACCAAATAATAAAATAAAACACGACCAGAACCTAAAAATTACCAAAATTTATTACCAGACAAAAAATTATGCAAAATATTTATTCTTCTTGATCTCCTTTTTTGCCCATATTTTCTTGCCAATATTTACATTTCATCCCACCAAAAAAATAAAGGAAAAAGAGATTACGAACAAAAACTACAAACCAGCGGAAATCGGCAAATACTCGCCGTATAATTCAGAAATTCCTGAAGCCATCCATAGCCTCTCGTTAAAAGCCTCCTGCAATTCCTCGGGAACAAACCGCGATCTACATAGCGGACACGTTTTATGATCGTGGTCCATCCACCGGTCCAGACAATTCCTGTGAAATATGTGTCGACAGTTTGTCAGCCGTCGGATCTCATCGTCACCGTTAAACTCGTACAAGCAAACAGCGCAGTTTTCCGGCGGGACAAATTCATTCAAATCTGAAAACTTCACCACAGGCAGAAGTTCCCGGATCAGCACAGCGGATACTGACTTGGGTTGCTCCAACCCGGAATCAGGAAACGCCATTTCCGACTCCAAAAAATCCCCAAAGCCCAGTAGTGACAAAACCGTAGAAATTGATTTTCCGATGAAACCCAGAACTGTAAGGAGATAAACTAAAAGTTTTGGAAGAAAGAGTTCAGTATATCCCAGTGGGAATCCCATTTTTAACTTAAAAACCAAAATAATCACTTCTAAACAGTGAAAGAAGTTGTTGAACTTTGTGTATGTATAGATGTTAGCGTGTGTACTGTGCGAGAGATAAGAGCAAGAAATGTTTGGAGAAATTGGAGAGTGAACGGTAAGAGATTTTTACGTTGAGTGGATTATATAGAGAAGGCCCAAGACCGTGAGTACGTGTGTGTTGGCTGTCAAATTAGGAATTTTACTATTTGTATACCAGGCTTGTACAGCCTGGAGCTTTCGTCAAATTAGTGCGTATCGTACGGTTTTGGGCGGATCACTGATAAAGACACGACATGTTGAAGATAAAGATAGTTAATTAGAGGAATTATTGAGTAATGTTATGCCCCGTTTTATTCCTATTCTTCGAAGAAATGAAAAATATGATCGTTATTCATTACATCAAGCATCATATTTGACTTTTTATTTTTTGCGTGGATCCCGTAGTAGTTATCTTTTTCATTCTCATGCTTAAATGAAAAGTAAAATTATTTAGAGTAATTGCTTAAATTGAGATTACAATCTCGGTGGAGTTAGGAATGACAAAAAAAAAAAACGTTCAGCTTGATTCCCGCAAGGCCCCATCTCGAAGGGGGACGGGGATTATCAGCCTAATTGGGTAAAGGGTGGGGTGTTGGTCATTGTCCCAAAGCGGGGATGGAAAACATATTTCCCCGTCCCATTACCCATCCCTTTTGAAGTTAACTTCAAATTTAAGTTTTTTATCAAACAAAAATAAAAAAAATTTAATATTATTTTGAAAGAGAACATAAGTTATTCTTAACAAATTTGAAAAAATGTCATAATATTGATTCACTGAAGACATAAAAAATAAAAGCAAAGAATAATATAAATAAAAAATAAAAACGAAAGATAAACTAGGCGACAAGCGGGACAGGGTAGGTCCCTTCCCATTTTAACTGGATATGGAGATGGGGAAAGGTGACAAAAATACCTAACGGGACGGGTGAAAATGGTCAACCTATCCCATACTCGTCCCATTGCCATCTCTAAATAGGGCTTATTAGAATATTCGAACCAACATAACAGCAAAGGGCCAAGGGGAGCTGACTAACCGAATATGTTGTGCATAGTGGAGCAAATACGATTATGTCACATGGCAGAAGTTAGTGAAATTAGAATATTTCTTTTGTATGTAAATGCTTGTATAGATCCTATGTGTATAAAAGGCAGATCAAATGTAAAGATCAGTATAAAAAAATTCTCAATAAAATTCGTTCAATTTCTGACTTGGTATCAGAGCCAAAATGGCTAGCACCGGTTCCAATGTTCAAGCTCCTTCAACCGATTTGAATCCTTCATCATCCGTAGAAGTTGCTGTGGGTCAGTCTTCACCCTTTGGGATGAATCTCACTCAAACTCCATCAGTAAAGCTTGACAAAAGCAACTTTCTCTTATGGCAAAACATGGTTATGCCTGTAATCAAAGGCCACAATCTTGAAGGCTATTTGCTGGGAACAAAACAATGTCCACCTGAGTTCCTTAGTACCCAGAGTACTACTGAAGCAGGAGAAGCCATAAAAGTGACCCAGAATCCAGATTACAGTAGATGGATGTCAACTGATCAGTTACTCATGGGATGGTTGTATTCATCCATGACCCCTGAAATTGCTATGAGGGTCATGGGATGCACTAACTCAAGCAGTTTGTGGAATGCAATCAAAGAAAGTTATGGAATATTGAATAGATCAAGAGTGACATTCCTCACTGGGGAGTTGCAGAGAACTATAAAAGGTTCTATGACTATGGATATGTACTTTACCACCATTAAGCCGTTGGTTGATAACCTGCAAATAGCAGGAAAAAAGGTGGATCATAGTGATCTTGTAACACAAGTTCTTGCAGGACTTCATGAAGAATATACACCCATTGTGGTGCAAATTAACAGCAGGGATGATATTTTATAATATGAGTTGTCATCAGTTCTTATGACCTTCGCAACCAGGCTTGAAACCTTAATCAAGTCAAGAATGGCTTAGCGTCTTTGAATGTCAATCATTCAAGTGTACAATTGGCTCAAAGGTCTGGATGAGGTGGTGGTAAAACCTTTAGAGCTGGAAGTGGTAAAAGGTACACAATCTTCAAAGGAACAAGAGGCAGAGGAAGAGTATGCAGGACAAGTGAAAATCGAGGACCATGTCAAATCTGTGGACTAAATAACCACTCAACTAGTTGGTGTTTTAATAGGTATGATGACAGATACATGGGAAGCAGACCTAGCAGTCAAAACCATCAAGGAAGTACCTCAACTCCTTCTGCATATGCTGTTGCACCAAAAATCATTGAAGATCCAGCTTGGTTTGCTGATTCTGGTGCCAGCAACCATGTTACAGCAGATAAAGGTAACCTGGACATAGCTAAGAAATATAATGGTAAGGAGAAATTGCTAGTTGGTAATGGAAACTCATTAGAAATTGCACATATTAGAAAATGAAGTATTTCTGCAATAGATAACACTCTTACACTGAATAAACTGCTACATGTGCCTGAAATAAAAAAGAACTTAATCAATGTATCTCAGTTTACATATGATAACAATGTGTCCATTGAGTTTTTTCCTGACCATTGTGTTGTGAAGGATCTGAAAACCAGGAAGACCCTGCTGCAAAGGATGCTTGAGGATGGTTTATATCAGCTGAAGGTACCAAACCCAAAGTCAAAACACCAGAATAATTCCAGCTGCTTCACAGTGAATTCCAATTGTGATGAGTCAACCAGAGGAGTCGAGTTAGAGTCTGAAGTTGATATATGGCATAGAAGGCTAGGTCGTCCATCAAATCATGTGTTGAGTCAAGTCCTGAAGTTTTGTAATAAATCCACCAAAGTTAACGAAATTCCAGCTTTTTGTGAACCATGTCAACTTGGCAAATCCCATGCATTGCCATTTTACATGTCCTCATCACATTCATTAAATTCTTTGGACCTAATCTATACGGACATCTGGGGACCAGCTCCCAAGAATTCTACCTCAGGGTTTAGGTATTATATCATTTTTGTGGATGATCATAACAGGTTTACTTGGATCTACCCCATGAAACACAAATCTAAGGCACTAAGCATCTTTACACAATTCAAAAACTTGGTTGAAAATAAGCTTGAGAGAAAGATTAAAACCTTACAATCTGACTGGGGAGGTGAGTTTAGAAACTTTTATAAAATTACCTTGAATTTGGAATTGAACTCAAACATTCTTGCCCTTATACTTCCGTGTAAAATGGTAGGGTAGAAGGAAACACAGGCACATCACTGAGACTGGCCTAGCATTCTTAGCTAAGGCTCAAATGCCCTTACATTACTGGTAGGAGTCCTTCAAAACAGCAACATACTTGATCAACAGACTACCCACACCTATATTACAGTACAAATCTCCCTTTCAAGTGTTGTATGGAAGAAACTTCGTAAAATTTTTGGATGTGCTTGTTACCCTTGCCTTAGACCATACCAGAAACACAAACTTGATTTCCATTCACAAAAATGCACCTTTCTTGGCTATGGTGATTCACACAAAGGATTTAAGTGCCTAAGCTCTAGTGGTAGAATTTATATATCCAGACATGTCATATTCAATGAACTAGATTTTCCTTTCAGGTCAGGATTCTTAAAAAAATTGACTCAACCACAAACCTCAGAACTTGTCATAAGTCTACTCCCATTTAACATTGAGTCCAGTCATAAAACAATACCTCAAGGTGGAGCTGATATAATCTGTCCTAGTGCATCAATTGCAGCAGGCTCCTCTGGTAGAGAACTAGATCCTGGAGTAGGAGTTGAGGTAGGTGGAGAAAACAACAGTATTGAAATAAATCACAATGAATCAGGTGATCAGGTGGTTGATGATGTTCAACAGAATGAATGTGGAACTAAATACACTGAAAATGAAGCTGATGTTGATGATCAAATTGCAAAATAAATTGCTGGACATCATATGGTCACTAGAAGCAAGGCAGGAATTTTCAAACCAAAGATTTACACAAGCCAAAGAGTGGACAAATTAGTAACTGTTGATGCAATGCTTAATGACAGTTGGAGAAATGCAATGCATGAAGAATATAATGCCCTGATGAAAAACAAAACTTGGACATTAGTACCTCATGAAGTTGGAATGAAGGTAATTTGAAGCAAATGGGTGTTCAAGTTGAAGTGTGATTCAGAGGGCAAAGTACAAAGGCATAAAGCAAGGCTGGTTGCCAAAGGGTTCCTACAAACACCTGGAGTAGATTTTGGTGAAACCTTTAGCCCAGTTATCAAAGGATCAACATTGAAAATCATCCTAACACTTGCTGTATCAAAGGACTGAAATATTAGGTAGGTAGATGTGAATAATGCCTTTCTGAATGGTAAGCTAAGTGAGGTGGTATACATGCATCAACCATAAGGATTTATAGATGGAAGAAATCCCAACTTTGTGTGCAAATTGGAGAAGACGTTATATGGATTAAGGCAGGCACCAAGGGCATGGCATGAAAGGCTAAAAAGTACCCTGTTGAAGTGGAACTTTAAACAGTCCAAGGCAGAAACTCACACTTCTTCTTGGTAAATGGTAAGGATGTAGTGTTTGCACTTGTTTACGTGGATGATATAGTGATAACAGGAAGCAACAACCAGCAATTACAACAGTTAATTGATAATCTGAACACAAACTTTGCTCTCAAGGATATGGGAAACCTCAGCCAGTTTTTGGGTATAGGAGTGTTTAGAGACAAAGCAGGATTATATTTGACTCAAACAAAATATGCCACCGACCTACTCAAAAAATTTGGGTATGAAAACCTAAAACCAAGCTTGACACCCATGGCAGCTGGGAAGTTAATATCCAAGACTAAGGGACAGGCTTCGAAAAATCCAACCTTGTATAGAAGTGCTATCGGTGGCCTCCGGTATTTGGCTTATACAAGACCTGATATCACTTATTCCATGAATAAAATGAGCTAATTTCTCCAAACGCCAACCGATATTCACTGGAAGGCACTCAAAAGAGTGTTTAGATACCTAAAAGGAACACTAAAGCATGGCCTTGCCATTCAAAAGAGCGACAACTTGGACATAACAACATTTATAGATTCTGATTGGGCATCATGCCCAGATGATAAAAGATCTACTGCAGGTTATTGTGTATATCTTGGAGATAACTTGGTGTCCTG